GTTACCCTACGCACGCCTAGTGGCAGCTAATGAATAAAGAGCTGCCACCTGTAACTACACTTAACCACAGGGCAAACAACTGACACAGTACATCACACACCCGCCACTCACCTCGCACTGCCAGTGCATCAGCGCTTACCACTGTAACATCCCTGACAGCTAGCCGAGAATGCTGCATAGAAATTATAGCGGATTCTCAAGCGCAGCAAAACCTTTCTGACTATCAACCAATTTTAGCCATTTGGACAACTTTTTCACTGTGACACTGTAGCTCCTCATACATCCAGGCATGTATAATTAGATCTCTACTGACGCAAACGGACGGCTGCGGCGGGGTTGGGGGGCCCCTGCCGTCAATTCTTTCTAAGTCAGACAGTAAACGCAAATCCATGTTACCCCCCTCTTCGGCAGGTCAAACGGTTATCCCGACACTTACTCTTGCGCATGTGCAGCAGAAGTAACATTTCATGTCGCTTTCAACTAAAGCCATAAAAATGCTAGGATCACGGCTGAAACCATAAAAGTTTTTTCAATCGCTCCCGTCAGCACCATGTCCTGCCATGCAAAACTGCCTTAATAATCTGTGCCCGCTGGCCTGCACATTGGACCTTTCTGACCCTCCCATTTCGCGCCACCAGTGATGGCTTTATCTTACCACATGATGCGCCTATACCACCGACTCATCTCACCGAGCCTCAGTCCGACGCCTCGTTTCACGCATTCTGTCGCCCGAATTCTGCATTTCCTCCGCTATACCTGATAAGTTAAGAGTAAATGTATCCCCTTCATTTTAACAGGCCTCCTGACGTTTGACCCTTTGACCCCCACGCTCCGACATCGACAGTCCCAACTTGTTTTCGGATTCCCCCCCCCCACGTCCCGACTTTCGAATCCGTACGTCGAGCCGTTTAGATTTGTGCCCAACTGTTGACGGACGCACGGACAGACGGACGGACGGACGCACGCTCATGCGATTCTACAAGCTGCATCTGACTATGTCAGATGAGCTAAAAACATGGCCATTTGGGTTCAAGGATAGAGAACATGGGTCCCAATAAAACCAATGTCATTTACATCAATATAAATATAATATTATATCAATATAATAGGTTAGGGTTATGGTTATGGTTAGGGTTAGGATTAGTGTTAGGGTTAGGGTTAGGGTTAGGGTTAGGCACATTGGTTTTATTGGGACCCATGTTCTCTATGACTATGACTATGAGTATGAGTCTATCCGATTCCTTGGGCCGCAATTTGTACCTAATTCTTATAATTTTACATAACTAATAGTAATACTAGTAATACAAAAAACTACCTTAAATTCTTTCAACTTTGCTTTCTGCTGGGTATTCAGAGCACCATCATCGTAATCTTCCATCCCATGCGCAGCTGAGATACTACTAACGGTGTCAGCAACACTATCGTAACTTTGGTTGACACACTCAACAACGCTTTCAGCCATCTTGAGTGACGTCATCCTATCAACAACACCACCAGTCCACCACGCGCATGTAATCAATAAAGTTCACCATTTGTGTACTGCTTTGAACTTTATGAAACCTGGACCCGGTTCCACAGTCGTGGATTAACTCTTAACTCTGAGTTAAATTCCTTAACTCTGAGTCCAAGTACACGTGGTTTATTCTGTCAACGCATACATGATAGGCATTGTTTGCTCACGCCAATAATTGGCCAACGAAATTTACGAAAAAACACTTCGTTGAACCTGCTACAGTGCTAGCGGGTAGCTTGATACGTAGCTTGAATCGTTTCAATAGAGGCGAAATTTCATTCCGTTCTATTTACGTTTCTAAATCAATTTTGCCATTATCTATTTGCCTCTGGTTGAAATCTTTTATGAACGATTGTAATGCCAACATAATCAGCCAGGAGGTGGCAGTGCGACATCAACCTACGTTCCAAGCTACGTTTTTGCTACTGCATCGAGAAATCATTCTCCATTAGCGGCCATACTACAAGCGAAAAATGCCGAGGATCTAACTATTTCAACTTCTAACTTGCAACACGAAAGAATATTCATTTATCTTCTCCGTGGACATAGACATGTTTATAAACCAGTAGTGTTTTTCCTTTATACCACAAATTCTGTAAGAATGTGTTAATACGTAATTGGAGTTAACCATTACACTACATTCACGCATCGTTAGGAGTCTTAGGAAAGTGATGGTATGATCATGGTATGCTCGCACAGCAGAAAAATCTAATCTAAATGTTCGCGAAGCCTTTGAATTACGAATAATATACTGAGACACAACTATAGGAATAAATAAATACTTAATACACACACACACACACACACACACACACACACACACACACACAC